CTCAGATATTCTCTTGTAAATTAAAAAGTAATGTGTTACTTTACTAGTTACTTGAAAAAAGTCATCTGATTACATAACTCGCATTACTTGTAATGAGTTACCCCCAACACTGGTTATTTAGGCCTATATATATATATATATATATATATATACTGTATATATTTATCCATAGACACACAGTGGTAAAAAAGAATCAACCCCCTTTAAAAAAAAATCATTTTGTTGCTTTGCAGCCTGAGATGAAGACGGACACAGTTTTTGTTTTATCAGCTGTATTTACTCAGTGCAACTTATAGCATCCAAGTGAAAGATATAACACCAACATCAAAAAAAAAATAGAATCAGAGTTGGAAAAAGGATCACCGCCTTGTGTCAGTATTTTGTTAAATACAGCCTTTAGTCTGTTGGGATACGTCTCTATTTGCAATATTTCCCCTGACCACCTCCATGCTTTACTGTAGGAATGCTGTTATTTGGATGGTCAGCTGTATTGGATTTCCACCAGACATATAGGCTACACATGCAGTTTGTTGACAATTCTGGAATTTTGGTCAAATACATGCTTATTTCACTGCTTATAAAACATACAATATACTTTGAATGATCGTTTATATCTAGCCTATAAATACACTACTTTAGCGACAAGACAAAGGGATGTTGTTGCGAGAACAGCATTTAGCAGTGGCTGTCCCCTCCACCCGCCCAACTGGGAAACTGGTATCAAAATTATTTCTGAATTTCCCAGTAGTAAATACGACTTGAGAGGTGTTCACGTCTAATTTCCAATTAGGAAACTCATATTTACGATAATTCCGATAGCACGTGAAGGCAGCACTGTTGCACTGAGAAAATACAGCTGGATAAAACAAAAACTGTGTCCATCTTCACAGTACAAAATTTGATTATTTTAAATGGGGGTGATTATTTTCTATATCCACTGTATGTGTGTGTGTATACATATATATATATATATATATATATATATAAAATCAGTATTTTACTGTATCTTAGTTAAAAGGAAAAGCATTTGTATTTGGAAAACTACAAAAAAAATTATATTGACTATGAATTTCCATGACCTTTTAAGATTCGAATTTCCATGACTTTTCCAGGTTTGCAAATCATACTTTTAAATTTTGGTTTAGCAGGACAAGATATACACACATAAACATACAATAAGCACTGGCCATTTAATTTCATTAAAAAAAGTAGGAAGTTGTCATTGTCAAACTCAGTTATAGCCTTGCTACTGTACAAGAAGCGGAATTCATCTCCTAATTTGCATTGTTTATGATCAATCAACATGTGGCCATGCAAAACATTGAGCTTTACATTTTCACCAACATTAAAACAAAAGCACACTTGTTTAATGTGATCTCAAACTACATAACGGAGTCAAATTTATTCAGGAAAAGTTGTCATAAAAACTTGACACAGTAGCTCAGAATAATTTTGTGTACACACGAAAACACTGATACTACTGCAGACAGGTTTTCAATCTATAGATATGTGGGTTATTTTGTTACACTATGCTTTGAGAAGGAGGCTGCACAGTATGACAGCAAGAGCTTTTCATGGATTATACAACCAAAGTTAAGATAAATGGATAGTCAGTAAATTTAACAATAAATTTGAAGTACATGAATGCTGAAACAGTAGTTTTAAGTATTTATGTTCAAAGTGTTCACTCTGTGCCACCTTCATCATCTTCAAGTGTTTTACGGAAAAATTTGCGATTTACTTTTACTTTCTTGCTACTGTTGAAGACAACATAGGACACCTTTTTGTCATCGTCCTCTTTTTCAGTCCCCCACTTTCTTTTTTTCTCTTTATTCTCCCATGAGCTGAGGTGGTGATGAAGAGAAGCATCCTCTCCTTCATCAGTCTCTTGTCTGTCATCCAAGTGTTGAAGTTCAACTTCTTCCTTCTTAGCATGATCAAGTTTGCTCCCACTCTGATCTTTAATCTTGGGTTTAGAAAACACAATCTTATTCTCAGTGGTGCTGCCATGATCCTGGTTGAAAGCTGGAGTGAAAGTTTCAAGCGCGTCTTTCTGAGACCTCCTGCTGTCTTGAAGGCCTTGTATATACTGATGAGCGACCTGACTATTCTCTCTATCACTGGTTTCAGCGACATCTTCAAGACTGTAGTGGGTCCAGCGCTCAGGGTGCCCAAGGTAGTCTGGGAGTTTTTTACCTGGAGGTTGTTTTTTGGTTGTCTCTTGACCACACTTCCTTTTAGCTGCCTGTGGTGGAGGTGATGGTGGAGCAGGACGGGCAAACGTGCCATCAAGGATGTTGTCTTCACCTAGATCTTTAGACGTGAGCTTTGCAGCACTATCCAACTGTGCAAAGATGTCCCTGCTCCGATCACAAAAACCAGAGCTCCCACCTGTCAATCTGAAGGTGGGATTTTCTTGAGGAACAGACTGGACATGCTGCGGAGTCTCGTCTTCATCCTCTGAGGACGATGACAAGTCCTCAACTTTGCTGCCGAAATGCTCAATGGGCTCATCAGAGTCAGAGTCGC